TGAAATCCTCAGTGCAATCAAACAAAATCCCTACAAACCAATACTTGAATATAAAGAGAGTTACCTGACGTAGTATTATGCACTGGCCAGCATTATTTAAATGAAATCAGCCAGTGATATTATATGGCTTATAAATTGGAATTGTGGTAAGTACATGGATTACTTAAAACAAAAAGCATCTTATTAACAATTGGCAAAAGTCTATCTTTCTAGGCAAACCTACCATTATGTCACATTTAAGATAGAATACCTCAGCTACTTTAGTTTCCTATAGACCTTGAAATCCCAGGTGTCACTAGTTGGGGGGGGGGTTCGATTTGTGATACATTTGCTCATGAAACGAAGTTTTATTGTCGATTATTTGTTCAAATAAATATTTTAACAGACAAGCACTCATGTTGAGACTATCTGGAATAATCTTCGGTCGACACAAAATTAATAATACAATTGGTGATGATCGGAAGTGAAATGATAAGAATCGAACCAACAGATTCTGAACATTTAAATAAAGCAAAACAGATGTTTGTGGAGACTTTTAATAAAGGAACTTATTGACAACGGTGCTTACAATAATTTACAACCTCGAGGATTCCATTTGCCTTAGATATATGGCTTGGCAAAAACATATAGTATATGTCCTCTTGAGAACTATATCTTCTACGATCAACTCAGCTCATCACAGATTTGCTTGTTGGTTTGCATAGATGTTAGAACCTGTTTGTCAACAGCTGTCTGCATATACAGTTAAAGACTCATTCCATTTAATGGGAACGTGGTTAGCGAAGTCTTACATCAGAGATTATCAAGAGCGATAAAACGGACTTATACTGCCGCCACCCTTTGTTTGTCATTTTCCAGCCGACCAATTTTGATTGCTCAAGTGAAAGATAAACCTAGTTGTGCCACTTCCATGTGTATCTATAAATTTAGTCGCTCCTGTGGACAGAGCTATATAGGGCGAACAACTAGACAGCTTAACAAACGCATTAATGAGCATCTTCCTTCATGGTTCGGAAAAGGTCAAATAAAATCCATAAGAAGTTCTATTTTGGCTCATTTGATTAATAGTGGTCACCAAATGGACACAAATAGTGCCTTCAAAGTTATCTACCGCATTCCATCGAGTCTTTCGAACGGAATCAGAACCCGTCTTTTACACTTAGGCGAAGCTATGGAATTCGAGAGAACAATCCTAGTCTTTGTAAACAAAAGAAGTTTGTTTACCTTTGTCTCTTCCTTGCTTGCCTAGGTGAATTCTATTCAAAACCCTCCCACCCTTTCCTGTCATCCCTCTCCTTCGTACTTTTATGATATTTATTTAAACTCTGATTATCGTTCCATTTCACCTTTTAAGATTTGACCTTATTTATTCATTTATTGAATTGTCTACATTTGCACATATATACATATACTACCTTTGTTATTCTTATCACTTGCATAAACCCTATTGTCAATATTTTGTTATCATTATAATCATCGTTATTAATTTCGTTCAAAACATTTACCACATTATTATTATTATTTTGAACTACAAAATCATCGTCATTGGTTAAAATTTTTACATATAAATCTATGTAAATTAGAGTAAAGCCTGAAGAAGATTTAATTGAAAACAATATTGTTCGCTTATATGTCTTGTTCATTCCATTTTGTCTAGAAACCTAAACAACATGAACGTTTCAATAAGTTCATGGTGTCATTTGATGTAACCTCCTTATTCACAAGGATTTCAATTCATGAAACTGTCTCATATCATCTCCCAGCATTCCTAACTACTCCCTTTACCACTGGCGGATATCAAACGCCTCCGATTTATTTGGATCATGAATGTACAATCTTACTTCAAACAGACGGTGTTGTTATGGGTAGTCCACTAGGGCGGACACTAGCAGTCACACTTTCAAATCTAATCTTGAGATAACAATGCTGAAAGGCGTAATCGATGAAGCATGTTTCTATTGCCGATATAATGCACAACGACTTATTTTTGTTTTATTTAAACTCATAAAGGGGAATAAAGATATGAAGCTTATGAACAACTAGTCTTGTATTCTATCAGATTAAACACAAGACCCCTCAGCTGTCCAGGTTATCATTTCACTACAATCAGCAGTCGAATCGTGCTGCGGCCCAGTTTCCCGTTTCACATTCCATTGTCACACAATGTATAGATCGGACAAAGCAATAAGAAGGTACACTTGTAACGACAGAAGGCAAGAGTCAGGCAACAGATTTTTTATTAAGGAAATCAACACTTATTTATATATTTTCATGTATATTATTATAGCTTATTCAAGCGAACAAACACAGTCTTCTGATTGGTTGTTCCTCACAGAAAGTTGATCTTGCATCTCTTTGTGACTGTTTCTTGAATGTCAGATCATCTAGATGTTAACTGTATCTTCCTACGCAAAGTCTGCTGTGATTGGTTGTTGAATCAGTCTTGTTCATATTTTCTCATGACCAATATTTACGACATAAACATTGACGTAAATAATTGTCTACCAATTCGGCTAGCAGCCTGCTCTCACTATACTCGTCCCCCCGTCAAAAAGCCTTGCTCGCAGGCCTTCCAACCTTCTGCGTGATACATCCTCTAGTTGAGGATTGTTACTGACCGGTCTATCCTACTGTGCCCATCGTTGGGGTGACTGGCGTTAACTCGTTTCTGTTTGTCACCTCTTCGGATGGTACATATTTAACCCCGTCTTTTTGTGATTGTGTATGGTCCTTCCCACTTTGGAAGGAGTTTCAGTGAACCTGGTCCACATCCAACTGTATATCTCCTGTCTCTACACTTCACTTAGTCCCTGACTGCAAAGGTAATGCACTGAGTCTTTCGTCTCAGCTGAGACTTCGCGACATCACTCCGCTGCTTCTGCATTACATTCTTGACTGCTTCTTTCCGCTCTGCTTTTAATTTCGTCGTACTCCACTTTCGGTTAAAAGGCCAGGTCTCGTTGTGTATCGGTAATCGTGATTTTCTACCATACATCAGTTGGAAGGGTGACTTCTTCGTTGTTTCCTGAGTGGTAGCACGATGTGTTAGTAAAATCAGTGGAAGCTCCGTTTCCTAGTTACCGCCCTTCGAGGCCAGCCACTCCTTCAGTGTACGGTTGTTTCTCTCCGTCAGGCCATTCGTTTGTGGATGATATGGGGTCGTTCTGACACTCTTGATGCCCAGCTGTTGCAAACGGGAAGTAAATTCTTCACTTTCGAAACAGGGGCATTGGTCTGTCAGTATTGTCTTTGGTACGCCGTGGTCTGTAACTATGTGTCTAACTACTGCATCTGTCACGGTCCTTGCACGTTGGTCTGGGATTGCTACGGCGTCTACCCATCGTGCCGCGTGTTTCGCCATCACCAAGAGGTACTGATTACCATTGGGTGTCTGAGAAAATGGACTCATGACATCTACGGACCACAAGTCACCTATCGCCGTAACTGGAATCGACTGAAGTGGTGGTCGTATGCACAGTATGACAGTATGTGACCTTCTTGATAGTTTCAGTTGTATGTGCTAGTCTCTGGAGAAAGTAGTTGAATGTTAGTCAATCAAGTTGGTCAGTAATACTTCACAGCCCGATCAATGGTAACTGAAACATCGAATCACTGTTTTAGTTGTTGAATAAAAATTTCACACCAAACGTTTTAACTTGTAAGACAACAAATTTAAATCTATGTATCACTAGTCTGCCAACGTAGCTAGACAGAATTTAAGTGACTGGAGCCTACCTGACCCTCTGAGATGAGTTTAACTTAATGTGCTACGTGGCCATTCAGTGTGTTTACATCACTTCTGTCTTGAATACAGGCATTACTAGTTGACCTGACTGATTGATCACCAACCATTCATAATAACCAGACTTTTATCAACAGCTGCCTCCTGTCCATACTCGACATCAGATAATCAGCCAGAAAAAAAATTAGCAACATGAAACTCTGCGAACAAACCAATCCGCCCAACAAACCTCCCTAAGGAAATCGAGAACGATTGGACACACTCTGGAACAACCGTTGGGTGACATTGTGCTCCAGGCCGTCTCTCAATTGAAACCCTAATGGGGCTAGGTGTCCAGGGTAAAAGGGAGGAGATTGTGAGAAGAGGAGGTTAGGGACAATGGGCAATCGTTGAGTCAACTAAGGAGGACTATAGAGAGCGGGACAAAACAGAGATGTGATGTTGAGACTCTATGTTCCACTCGAAACCCAAGGGAGTAATAATAATAATAATGATAATGTGCTGTTATGCGATTAAAGGATTTACCCTATGGTGGCAAACTAGTTGTAAGGTTGGGAAAACATCAACAAAATCTAGAGTTTGCAGGTCGTTGAATCCCAACTCAGTAGCTGAATGATCTCTTAACCTGAAGGCCGACGAAGACTTCCAAACAAGGATGAAACAGCTGTGCAGTTCTCCTTGGTTTTCTGCAACTGTCTGAATGATATCACTTCGTCAAGAAATTTACATTAATGGAGGATTTAATCATGAGCTGACATCAGTTAGAGAACCACTGGAAAACCTGGGAGTACTGGACAGCTGTTTCGTCCTAGTTTGGGACTCTTCAGCAGTACGCACCCACCGGGATTCGAACCCAGGACCTTCTGGTTACAAGGCGAGCTCGTAGACCATTGAGCTACTGGGACCCGATCCAATGGTACTTGAATTCTAACTTCTGCCAATTCACGACATAGCGCGACCACTTCGCAATGTCTTCTTCGATGAGTTACTGCCTCATCTTCAACCTGCTGTACCCTACTGGTCACGGCTTCCCACCAGAACCCCAGGTTAACTGCCTGAATAGGGCCAGTACTCCAGTACTCCCAGGTTTTCCAGTGGTTCTCTAAGTTATGTCACCTCATGATTAAATCCTCCATGCAATCAAACAAAATCCCTACAAAACCAATACTTGAAAAAATTTACATTAAGAATAATCAATATCACTACTATTATTGTTATTAATATATTATTAATTTCAATGAGGATAATTAGAACCTACTTTGTATCTTGTAATAAACATGCTGATACTGATGAAGACTTGTCCAGTATAGGATAGCCATCATAGGCATGATTTGGTGAACGACGTGTACTCATTCGAACAGTATATGCATCACCAAGCTGACTGTACAAGCGTAGATTTATACTATCTGTTTCATGTTTACTTCGTGTGTAGTGAAGTCGTGAACGAAATATATTTATGATAGTATCTTTATTATTTTTTAATGCATAATTTGGTGGATCTTCTTCACCTGGGAATGGTTCAATGCGTACTTTTTGATTAGGCCATTTCGAGGTATCTGTAAAGAAAAAAGTAGAAATGAAGAGTTGAAAAAAAAACGTTCTTCACTGAAATACATGAAGAAAAGAAATTGAATGAAGAAATATCTACATGAATTTCTAAGTACTGTTTCGGATTTTTAAACATCTCGCAAGCTCAGGATCATTCAAGCCTAGATGACCAAGGTAAGGATAATATCTGAATTAACTTCTTTTGGATGCACAATTAAGGCTTCTTAATGTGGATCCCAATGGCCAGCCTCAGTAATATTTAGTAGTTGAACTCTTAAGGTGAAATTGAGATTTGTCGGGATGCGGTATACCTAATTTCGCCTCTTCCATGTGTATGTACCAATTTAACTGCTCCTGTGGGGCCAGTTACACAGGTCATACAATTAAGCGTGTTTCTCCTCGAATTTCCGAACATCACCTTGTGTAATTAAGTAAAGGACAAACAAAATCTATTCATATAGCGCTATTCTATCTCATCTTGTGCATACAGAACACAAGACTGACGTTAACCATGCTTTCAGTGTCATTTACCGCATACCAACAAATCGCAGTTTTGCCTTAAGAGTTCGGCTACCAAATATTACTGAGGCTGGCCGTTGGGATCCACATTAAGAAGCCTAATTTGTGCATTCGAAAGTAGTTAGTTCAGACATTATTCTTGGCCATCTAGGTTCGAATGATCCTGAATTTTTGTGGAATTTCCATAATTTTAGTTGATATTCTATCTGCTATTATATTTTTACTATTATTATAATTTAAGCATCTTTAAGGAACTGAAATTCCATTGATCTTACTTTAAAAATCGATATTATCTAAAAAACAGTCTATTGATATTGACTACTAATTTAGAATATACTATGTATATAAACATGCATATATATAATTGTAGAGCCATAAGGGGAATTTCTGGAAAGGGATACTCTTTACTCAATTATTTTTTTTGTTTTATTTTTAAATCTCTGAAATTACTACAAAGTACCAAAACTAGAGTAAATCTTTTAAGAAGGGTCTTTTTTAAAAAACCACACAAAAAAAAGAACGAATATTTAATATATATTCAAACAGAAAACATTCATTACTTTCTTACACGTTTTTACTCTGGTTAATTGTAGGCCGAAGGTTTTACTTTCTTCCCATGGTTCATTGTACGCAGATGATGCGACAAATTCAGCTCGATTTAGTACATTTGTACACGGTGTAACAGTGAACCATGCGGATCTATTGTATCCAATGAAATATTGTATGCTGTGTGTGGATGTGTAAAGGAAAACAATGAAAAGGAGATTTAAAGGGATTTTTGAAAAAATATTGAGAAGTTAGATAAAATTAAGATAAAAGGAAAAATGTCACGGAGTGGTACTATATTTAAACGAGATATGAATCAGCCATATTTGGCGGGGTTGGGAGTGGAGAAGTGAACAGTCAATCTTCCAGTATAAGCGTAGTGAGAGCTATCTGCAAGCTGAAATTGTAGACAACGATTTGCGTCTATGTTCACGTCCTGAATCGGGGTCATGAGGAAAAAACAAGAACAAATCCCAGCCTTGAGAAACTGAACAACCAATCACAGCAGACTTAGTTGGCGTGTGTAGATATGATTCGCAGATATATATAGATAACATTGCAGGCACCGGTCACAGGCAGTACAGTATAACCTTCAGCAGGAAAACAACCAATCAAACGTTGCTTCTCCACTTAAATAACGAATAACAATGTACATGTACGTCGGTGGCGCACAGCGGTTAGGACTATCGCCGTCCATGCGTATGGTCCGGGTTCGATCCCCTGTCGACGAACACCTGATATCTATAGTTGGCCTGCAAAATTTGGGCCACCGATATCACATGCTGAAAATTCCATACCTGTACCAAAAATACGGTGTGAAGTCAAGCTGTAATAAAAAAAATAAATATCCGTTGATTTCCTCAATAAACGTCCTGTTGCGTGGCCCTTGTCTTCTGTCGTTACATTACGTCTAAAGTGTTCGGCCTTAAGTTGACATGTCAGCTTTTTGTACAGATGCTCCCATGATGTCCGATCATAGTCATATGGCTGATATCAATCCCTGAAGTCAAATAATCACATCTGCAACACTATATATGATAGACATAATTTTGAAGACGTTAAATGATCAGACCTTGTTGAACCATCTGCACAAGGGTCCCACATGTCAACCTTAGGCCTAACACGCCGGTCTAATCAGTCAACGGGGAAAATTCACATCGAATTAAAAAATTACTAATACCTGATTCAAAAGGAGTGGCTCTCATGGCCCAAGAGGTCTAGTGGATAACACTTTGGAGTTTGAAACTACGGGTACCAGGTTTTAACTCACTGAGAAATGCAGGTACATCAGACTGACGAGTGCCGAAAAGTACGAGGTGAGCATTTAAGATTCCACTGCTAGTCACCATCCATCAGTTTCATTTAGCAAACACGTACTGTAAAAACCTGTCTTTCCGAAATAGACGTTTCCTGCACCAGACTATGAGATCAACTTAATCTGGAGATCGACAGTATCTCGAATCATTGAGGCTGGAACGGGTGGTGTGAAGTTCTAGCTTATAGTCACATCTGTAACACATCATTTGATAGACATAACTCTGAGGGCATTAATATAAATCATTTCATTGATGGTGGCTAGCAGTGGAATCCAGCATGAGTACTAAGTTCTGTGTTAGGGACTCTTCATGTGGATGTATCCTTAATCAGTGGGGTCGTGGTTAGATTACTGTTACGTTCTACTCAAGGTTAGAATTTGCTGGTCAGGCTTCAGCTCAAGACACCTATTCAGATAATTTATCCATTATCCCTTAATTATCACCTAGACGTACATCTATTAGTCGATTAAACATCGTTGGTGTGCTCATTCCCTTCAGACAACATTATTTTAAGATTTCTTCTTCAGATGTCTACCATTGTTTATCCATCAAAAGTTTAGTGTGTGTGAAGTTGAATGAATACATGTCAGGTGTATACAACGCTAAGCCATTCTGTGTATTTTAGCGAAGGCTACAAAAGTATAACTTGAATGTAAAGCAAACTACTATTTTCCTTAAGATCTAAAATTGCCTTAACCATCATTTAAGTCAGAGTCATTTCAGTCAAACGATCATCTTCACACTGTTGCAAGTGTAGAGCTTAGGTAGTCTGGTAAAATGTAATTCCATGTAAGATAAGTTCACTTGATATAACACATTCACAGCAATACAGTATTGACAACTTGATGACCTGTCGAATACAATTTATTGCTCATAATCAAAAATCAGTATTTTCATACTGTCGCATAATTCGCTGTACATATTTGTTCTCTCTCCGCCTTGTTATTCATTCCAACTCTTTATTTATTTGGTATAGGCAGTGCGTCGCAAGAATACATATATAGGAAACCAACACACTCTAATAAGTCCTTAGATTTTGATTCATCCCACCCAGAATTGGTAAGACTCAATTTAGTGAAATGTCTAAACAAATAATTGGGTCAGGAGATTAACTATTAAGTCAGAGGATTTAAATAACAATGTCAAATACCTCTGGAGAAAATAGATGTGATGGAGATTCCTAGCCAACAGCAAAATCAACAAACATAACCACCACAACAGGCAAAAATCAGCATAAATGGGACATATTCGAAAGGAGCAACCTCCTTTGCTTGCCTACCTACCTACCTACTATATGGATCAGAGACTTGACCAGCACGTCATGAAACGCACTTTGAACAAAATGCAGACTTTCATCAACAGATGTCTTCGCTCAGTACTACTCATGATCAGATGGCTGGCCAGAAAAGATCAACAACAGGGAGGGATCTCTGGTAATGAACCAACAAACCAACTCAGCAGGAACCAAGTGTGCAGAAACTATTCAGGAAGAAATGGAGGTGGATTGGCCATACTCTGAGTAAACAAACCGCCATCAAGTGACATCACACGTCAGGCCACCACTCGAGTGGGACCCGAATGGGAAATGGCGAGTTATTTGGTGGTCAGTGTGAGGGTGACATGGAGGAGGAGGTGATGTGAAGAGGAGATGAAAGCATAAGGGTAGACGTGGAGCTAGGTGAAAACGGTCGCAGAGATTCGTAAGTAGTAGAGATGTGTGTCTTTTGTGCCTCTTCTATCGCCAACCTTTTGCCTTTCATTGGCATCTCTTCCAGTTTGTGGGAACTCAGGTATATGTCATTTATTTCGCATATCAATGTAACTGTCATTTCAAAAGCTGAAGAGTTAAGAACTGGTCCACTAGGTCACAAGAGCCGTCTCACACCCATTATGTGTTGACTACTCCTGGTTACAGCTCTTTCGAATTCATAGAACTCCCCAATGGATAAGTTTAGTTCTTTTCATAAGACGACTGTAATTCTCCTAAGTTGATGGAGTTAAATTTTAAGTTTAACTGTGCTACAAAAATATCCCATGCTTCTTCTCGCTTTCCCCATGTTTCCCACATTGTCCATGTCTCCAAAAAGAAGTTGCCCTCCTTTTCTCACGTGCTTTCTAATATTCGAAAATGGCCCACTGTCGAACCGAAAACTAACCACATATCCCAGGTCTGAGAAAAATTCTTCAACTGGGCGGTTGTCCTTGTTTCCTTTTTATATGACCACTACATAAACGGATGTGTCTGTGGCACAGTGGAAGAATTCCCACCGATCATCCGTGTGGTACGGGGTTTGATCCTCGTCCGACGCACTAATTTACCACGCTAAGCCGGTAGTAGGGCCCGTAAAGAGGGGAGGTGGGACATGAAGCTAGCAACCCTTTTCCATAAAAATAAACACCAGTGATACCGAAACTTCAATCCTCTATCTTGAAGCCCAATTTTCATCTGAGTACGTAAAGGACTAAGAAATCTGACTAATGATATCCAGTCAATTGCTTTGTTGATGTCGAATGTACACAGAACCTCACTTAAACTAGAATTCTAAGGAATAGGATTTATTTGACAGCCTGCATGCCGGGTGTCGTGTTGTGTGGGTTTATTTACACTACACAGTATTATAATTTTTAAACTTTAGCATAACGCTAATCAACTATAAATTAAGTAAGATAATGGGATGGGGTAGAAAGCATAAACCAACGTCTACGAAACAATAACACGCAAAATTCATAACAAGCGACGTATTCACTGATAAATGAACCCGCAAAAGTGTTTTTTATTGACACTTTTTTCCGACGTTGTTTTTTCCTCTGTTTATCAAGCGTCTTTTGTTACCAATCTAGTTTGAAAACAGTCAATATGTAAAACGATCACATACGCCCACTTAAACTCCCAAAAATAGCACCAAGCCACAAAACCGAAGTCTTATCAACTTTGTAATCTGAGAAGTCAATAAAACGGTTAATCATACCCACCAATATTGAATTTACTATGGAACATGAAAATGATGGAAAGTTTCATTTCCTCATGCAACGGCTAGAAGATGAAAGTAGTCTCCAGAAGTCAACTTACCGAAAGCTGATATGGAAACGACAATACCTACAGTTTAATAGTTTTTGTCCAAATAACTTTAAACGACCCCTAGTGAAGACTCTATATTACAGAATTCTGAGATTATGCTCTGTAGAGAGAATAGAAGAAGAATTTATGTTCCTCAAAAAGATATCGAAAAACAGTGGTTGCCCTTTAAAGAATCATTAAAAATTACGGAGGATCTGAAGGCTCAAATCTCAAGCATATCACAGTCAGAAACAGGGCCCATCTACATTCAACTTGATTTTAAAGGTGAAAATATTACAGCAGTTGGCAAAAAAAGATTGAGGATGTCACTAGGCAGAGCCTATCCTACTTGTTCCCGTCTAACGAACAACTTGCTCTTTGGTGCAATCAAAAATCGATAAATATCCTTCTCATATAAACCTCAACTATATATACAAATTTACATGTATCTGTAGGAGCAGTTACATTGGAAGGACAGAAAGAAGGTTATATCTACGATTTTCTGAACATGTAATAAAAAACTTATGTGTAAAGGGAACAAATGCTTTCAACATTGCCATCGCCAGGCATCTTCTTGATACGGGTTAAGAAGGAAGTAGTTATCAATCTTTCCTTCCCCTGGTAACTGGATATTTTCATATGTTTACGTAATGTCCAAAGTTTCCATTGTATATGATAACTACTGCTCGGAAGGGTGTTTAATATTATATATATATATATATATATATATATATATATATATATATATATATAATATATATATATATATATATATATATTACCGTAAGCACATACTGATTGATTGT